CGATATCTGAGCCCTTGCTCTGTATTTTAGGTGTTTCTCCACAGGCTCCCTGAATGTGTCTAGCTTTCTTTTAGCATTTTGCCTGGCCAGGCAAACTGTGGGAGACTCCAGGATTAAACTGATGAACTAGGTAGAAAGTCCTGGAGATCCACTTCTGACAATCTGCCAATTGAAATGTATGGATGACAATGGCTCAATCTACAGTTGATTTACCAACAGCTCGCAACAATAGGCACAGGGAAAGTAGAGGGGCCCTCCAGGAAGGCTTGGAGAATGACTGAAGGTAATGTCAAGGCACAGAGACAAATGGCTAGATGTGAGCTCCACTTAGCCCCCTGGCCAGCAACCCTTCCGTTGTAGATGGTATGTAGCAGTAGCACTACTTTCCCAAGTAAAGCCCAGTGTGTGAGGCACTGGGGTTGTGTGTGAGATTAGCTGCAAATCAGACAAAAGGTTCAAAAACAGGTTAAAAAACATGCAGAGTACACAAATGTTCACAACAGCATTGCTCACAATAGCCAAAAAGAATTGCCAAATGCCTATCAACTGATGAATGGATAAGCAAAAGCTAGTCTACATCAATCTAATGGAATATTATGCAGCCATAAAGAGAAATGACATCCTGATCCATGCTTCAACATATATAAATCTTGAAGGTATACTAAATTAAATGTCAGGTACAAAAGGACAAATATTCTATGATTCATTGGTCTGAAATGCACAGAAACTAGATTAGTGGTATTCAGGGGCTGGGAGATGGGGAAGTGATTGTTAATGCATTTCTATTTAGGAAGCAGAGTATATTGTAGAATTAGATCCTGGTGAAGGTTGCACAAGTTTGCAAATATACAAAAAAAACCAAACACTTTAAAAATGTCAGTTTTTGAGGTGCCGTAGGGATCAGTTATCAGGCATCATCAAAACAAAAAACCATATCATTGTGAATGAGGGGGAGTGCAGAGTGGAGACCGAAAGCCCATCTGTAGGCAATTGGACGTCCCTTATGGAAGGGTTGCAGGGAGGAGATGAGCCAGTCAGGGTGCATGCACTGTAACAATGATGAAACATACAACTTTCCTCTAGTTCCTAAATGCTTCCCTCCCCTCCCCCACTATCATGATCCCAATTCTACCCTGCATATCTGGCTATATCAGAGGATGGACACTGGTACAGATAGGAACTGGAAATACAGGGAATCCAGGACGGATAATCCCTTCAGGGCCAGTGGTGAGAGTGGCGATACTGGGAGGGTGAAGGGAGGGTGGGGTGGAAAGGGGGAGCCAATTACAAGGATCTACATATAACCTTCTCCCTGGGGGACGGACAACCGAAAAGTGGGTGAGACGTCGGACAGTGCAAGATATGACAAAATAATAATTTATAAATTATCAAGGGTTTATGAGGGAGGGGGGAACAGGGAGGGAGGGGAAAAGTAAGGAGCTGATGCCAGGGGCTTAAGTGGAGGGCAAATGTTTTGAGAATGATGAGGGCAATGAATGTATAAATGAGCTTTACACAATTGATGTATGTATGGAATGTGATAAGAGTTGTATGAGCCCCTAATAAAATGATTAACAAAATGTGAGTTTTAGTCTATGTTAATTTTCTTCATAATATTTTAATAAAAGTCATCATGCAGTAAGAGGGCCCCTGGTTTTGTCTTCTATGAATACAGCAGAGGTCATATTAGGGTCCTGGAGCAAGACCCTCAGCTCCATGTAGCTGGACATCTAGAAAATGGAGATTTGGAATGTCAGTGAGCAGAGCCAACTTGGCCCTGGCTGGTGTCATGTCAGGCTGTGGTCAGGATGCGTGGAGAGAGACAGGGAAGGAAGCAACTGCAAAGTAGCATCACAGTGAGGCCTCAGAACCAGGGCTGAGTGTGTGACAATCGTACAATCTCCTGGCACGGGGTTCTGCGCCACAGCTGCAAGTCAGGACCCCCTGTGTTTCACCTGAACTTTGTCTGGGAGTCAACGGTTATATGTGATTTATGGTGTCAAAGTGGGTGAGAGACTAGAGCCTGAAGGCACCCGGATCTGGTTTACATCCTGTGCAACCTCTTAGAAATGTGTTGTCTTCTTTGAGCTTCAGCTATCTCATTGTTGAGACAAACCATAGTAGTACCTACTTCATCAGGTGGCCACGTGGGGTAAATGAGAGGCTGTGTGAACAGGGCTGAGCGCAGATTCTAACCCATGACAGGACGTTCTCACAAAGTGGCTCAATGACAGACGACAGAGCCTCCTGGGGCTGGGCTTCCCATCCAGGAGAACAGAGCATATTCCGTGAAGCTGCTTATGTGCCTGGGTGGCAGCCGCATAGAGAACTGTCATATTATTCAGAAATTTCAAGGAAGAATGGAAATCAGCAGGTGAGGGCGGTGTTTCAGAATTGCTCGGCAGATCCGGGTTGTGCTAGTATCGTGGGGGGGCTGGGGGAAGAAGCCCCTTCTTCTCCAGATTAGGCCCCTTCACCGTCTGTGGTGAAGACCCTTTGCCAGGGTTTTCACCCACGCTGAGTGCTGTGAGATAAGCACTTTCAGCAGGAGTTCAGCCTCTTTCAGCCAAAACGCAATAGTGAGAAGATGTCACTGGCTTCTTCAGAGATGTGGAAGCACGCAGCTAGTGGATGGAACGATCCCAATTTTACTTCAGCCCAACAGCAAAAAGGGCTCTGGGATTTAACCTCCATCTCAGGAGGATTTTCGTAAAGAAATACATGTCTGGAGCCGCTAAGGCCACCGAGAAGTGGAAATGTCAAGAAGCCTCAGACACAGGGCGAAAGGACTAAAAGAACATTAACTTCTTCTCAAGGAAAAGTAGATCGTAGAAAAAATTAGTATTTACTACAGAAATTTGCCTAACCATCCTTTTCACCATGTTTGAAGATTATACGACATTCTCCATTCCTTCTGCAAAATATAAGAATCACTGTCCACAAGCTTGCGATGAACAAGCTATTTTTTAGAAAATTCACAATGTTATTTGCCGGCCACGAATCACCAGAGTTTGTACCCAAGCTGTTTTATGGCAGCTGCAGGTGTTATTATAATAATCACGTCATCTCATGAAGTGTTCTATGAACCAATGAAGGACAACTACAAAATAGGTGAGTTACTGTTTCTAAGAAAACGAAGTGATAGTTTGGAAGCCCCCAGAGTTGCTTAAAATGCTGTGAAGTTATGATCAGGTGATACAAATGTAATAGGTTGAAAAATGTACTAAAAATCCAGAAAGATTCTACCATCCGGTTGCTTCCCAAGTGTCAAAGTTCTTAATTCTATTTCAAATAAAGATGGCATTTTGGATGTTATAGATTTTTCACATTTACTTATTATCATTTACCTAGATTATAAAGCCGACACCGAACTCACTGCCATCAAGCCCGTTCTCACTCACAGCCACCTGACGGATGGGACGGAGCTGCTCCTGTGGGATTCTGAGCTTGTCATTCTTTATGGGAGTAGAGAGCCTTGTTTTTTCCCCAAGGAGCAGCTGGTGGTTTCAAACTGTTGACCTTGTGGTTAGCAGCCAGACATATAATCACTACCCCACCTGGGCGCCTACAATACTATGGGTCAATGTAACATATGCTACTGTTCCACTGGCTGATTCCTCAGAAGTGGACAGCCTCTTCCTTATTCCGAGTCTGTTCTTTGTCTGGAAACTCAGCTGAAGCCGGTTCACCTGGGCATGCTTCCATTTCCAATGCGGGATTTTCAATTGATGGACTAATTCATTCTCATAATCCATTTGACATCTTTGTGAAAAACAGACTTCCTGTTACTCCTGGTTCTTCTCCCGTGTTCTCAGGCCAAGATCTAGACACCAAAGACAACTGATCCATTGTGACTGAGTTGACTGACTCAGGTCACCCCCATGTATTAGTGACCGGGTAGAACTGCGCTCCCTAGGGTTTCTCAGTGACCGTAACCTTCGGCAGGCCGTTCTTCTGAAGTGTCTGGTTGGGTTTGTACCACTACCCTTTCAGTTAGTAGCCACATGCTTTACCTTTTGCCCCATCCAGGGACTCCCTTTGCCATTTGTTTTGTACCCATGGGTACTCTGAGAATATTGGTGGGCCTGGCCATAATCTTGCAGAGCCCATGTGTGGGTACAGAATCTACCTCCCTGTCTTCTACACACACACACACCAGCCTAGACATAGCCATTGACCTTCCTTTATTGTTACTTTGCTTAAAACATACGAGAGGTTTATCGTTTCAAAGTCATTCCTGACATCCAAGTAAAGGCCATCTGTTACAACTGGGCCTGCACACAGACACATGGCTACACTTGCATGTTAGGCACACAGTGGACACTTGATGAGTGACATTTGAAGGTGAGGTCACTGGTTTACAAATGTGGAAAAGGGCTCTCGTTCTAGGTCACAGAGTAAGAGAGCTAGGGTTTCACTTGGACCTGCCCCTGCCCAGAGTCCAGGTGCTCAGCTAGCACTCTCTGACACTGCACCTCCGTTGGCTGCTCTCCAGAGGAGGGTGACACGCACACATCTTGCTCCCCCAATCAAAAGTGGGCAGGGAGGAAAACAACAGAGCAAAGTCCTGGCAGAGAACCAACATGTTCTTCACAGGAGAAAGCGGGTGTAGGAGTGGCTGCCTCCCTGCAGGAGAAGGGGTCTGCACCAGTAACCATAACCCGGCTCTCATGGGATGCCACCCTGTTCATGAAACCATGTGGTGCCCTTTCCCCATATTGAACTCCTCAAAATACCGTTGCTCTCACCGCCTCACTTTTGAGGCAGCAGCAGCAGCAGCAGCAGCAGCAACAACAAAGCAAGGGCTCGAGCAGGTGTTCTGGCTGTCGTCCTCCTTAAGCTGCCCTTCTGACTTGGCCTCTAGAAGATGATATGGCTCCTCCTAAGACTATCTCTGAGGCCACCCGCTCTTGGTTTGGGGATGACCACAGAGTCTGGTACCCAAGAGGCTCTCTGTACCCCACACTACAGCTCCATACCCCCAACGCACACACACTCACCATGAGATGTTGGAAGAGCCAAGAACGCATTATATTGGTGGCATGCTTGGGCAAGACTCCTCGTTTGTTCTTGGACTTCTTATCCTCATTGTCCAGGAGGGAGGTGAGGTCAAGGTTAACCTTCAGGGCACGTGGAGAAAAAAGCAGCATCAGCAGCCTGGCAGGCCAGCATCAAGAGACCTGTTGCCATAGTGATGAAAGGTGTGCACTGCCATCCCCCTTTCCTAATTCACCCTAAGGGCCCTTGGGAGGACACCTTTCTCGCTCACCCACACCAGCCTGTCAGAGAAGAGGGACAGGCTTGGGGTTGGGAGAGAAAGGGAGAAGGAGAAAAAAGGTGGAGGAAGGGAGGAGGCGAAGCGAAGAAGAGAGGATATGGAGGAAATGGGCATGCAGAGGGTACCACAGATGTGAATTTACTATAAACTACCTAACCGTTGCTGGCATTTATGTGATACTTTACAGTATGCACAGCATCTTCTTAGCCAGTCTGCAGGTTGGTAGGGCTGTGGTGGTATGAAGTCCCCTTTTATTGGGAATAATGTAGGCTCAGAGAGGGTAAGCGACTTATGCAAGATCCTAGAGCTAATGCCAGGTCTCACGTCTCAGACTTTACACCTTTTTGACTACACCGCATCTCCCTCTGGGGTGTGCACGCTACACAAATGCACCCCAAGGTACATGTGGCTAGGTCTGGAGACCAGAAATAGGGCGCGGCCAGGATCCTTTGCGGTAGGTAGCCCCAGAAAGCAGCACAATTCCAGGAGTTGACTAAACACTTTCTAGACCCAGCTCCGGATCTGTGAAGTGAGGATAATGACACTGCTTAGAATCATGAAGATTCCATGAGCTAGTGTTTGGGAAGCACGTAGCAGAGAATAGGGAGTCACGACTCTTCTCCCCATGGCCATGCACATGGACACACCTGGACACTCACCTGTGTGTTCTGGATCTGGATGGCTCCCTGGGGGATTGCTTGGGTGACCACCTGACCCTGGGAGGTTACCATGGTAACCGGCTGGTATAAGGCTCCACCTGAGGAGACAACCAGTTTTTGGGTCCCCTTTCATGGGGACGGGTAACAGTGAGGACGAGCAGGGGTACCAATCCACTAGAACTCGCATGGAATGACTTCACTGTGGAGTTGTGGGTCGGGCAGTGTGTTTGCCACACTTGTACACTGCAGGTACTCAGTCTCTGGTGGGGTGGATGGGAAAAAAGCAGCGTGGGGTTGTCCAGAGCTGAGCACAGACTCACTAGTGGGAGATGGGAGATTCTCTAGCCTTCTCTGGTCTTTAGGGCCTCATGAGAATTTGTCCCAAATGGCTACACTCACTACAATAGGGTTTTGGTGCTAATGGTCTTTAAATTTACAGAACCCTTTAATCCAGAAAGTAAGCTATGAGCCTCCTCCCCCCACAGCAGGGGGACATTTCTCAATTCCCATAATGCTTTGTGCAGTGCCCTGTTCCCCCAACCCTTCAGGGCCACCCTTTCTTCTCCCAGGGCATTACCCACATTCCCCAGCACCTTGTTTCCTGCACTGACCTGACACAACTTGTGAGTTGACGGTTGTCATGGCGATGTTGCCTTGCTGGAGCGCTGAGGCTGGGACCACAATTCCCTGGGGGTTATTGGAGACTCCAGACATGGAATTGGGAGAATTCTGCAGGAGGTCCTGGCAGTGAGGGAGGTGTGGCTTGGTGACAATGTCACTGGAGGCTTCAATGCTATAGCCCCAAATTCCTCCTCTCCCTTTTCCCTTTCTTCTTTTCTGGTCCCACCCTGGACCCAAATCCAGAAGACAATTCTCAGGGCTCCCCTCGTAACAGTGAGCAAGAAGGCTCCGCATACAAATAGTCAATGATGCTCACCTATGCACCTATTTCACTCCCCTAAAACAGTGAATACGTACCCAGCCCTCCTTATTCCACAAGCCAGTGGCTCCCTACCTTGGCTACACCCAGGCATCTCTAATATTGATATCTTGGCTCTTGCTTCAAAGTCTCTAACTGAATTGGCTATGGGTGTCACTTGGGCTTGCGATTTTTAAAAGCCCCAAACTAGCTGTTGAGTCAAATGTGACTTTCTGAGCTCTGTAAAATACACCCCCCCCACCCCCTCACTACCACCCTTTTTTGGTAAAATTTAAGATGAGGCCTCAGGTTAGGATTTTATTTTAGGCTGGAATTGGTCATGGAAGTAAAACTACGGTTAGGAGTAAGGTTTAGTTAGGATTAGTGTTGGGTTTAGTGCTATGTCTAAGACTAATCTTAGGATTGTGGTTAGGCTTAAGGTTAGGGTAAAGGATAGGACAATGCTTAAAATTAGGGTTGAGTTAGCATTAGTATTAAGGTTAGCAGGCTTAGGGTTTGAGTATTTGTTTTGTTTAAAGATAGAATTAAGGCTGGGACTACAGCCAAGGTTAAGGGTGAGGGTTAAGTCTTGGTGTAGGGCAATTGATGTATGTATGGATGATGATAAGAGTTGTATGAGCCTCTAATAAAATGATTTAAAAAACAAACAAAACAAACGAAGAAATAAACGAACAAAAAAGACTAGGTGTAGGAATAGTGTTGGGGGGGAGTCGGGTTAGGGATAAATTTACGGCAATTTAAGGGTAAGGGTTAGGTTTAGGATTAGAATTAAGTCTAGGGTTAGTGTTAGGGTTATTATTAGCATTATTGTTAGAGCTAGGATTAGATTTAGGGTTAAGTCTAGAGTTAGGTAGGATACGGATTAGGTTTAGGGGTAGAGTTAGGTATACGACTAGAGCTAGTGTTAGGGCCCTAGTTAGAGTCAGAGTTAGTTTTAGGATCAGGGTATAGTTAGGGCTAGTCTAGGGCTAGGCTTAGATGTAGAATTAGGGTGTTAAGATTTGGGTGACTCATAGTTAGGGTGAGGTGAGGTTTTATGTTAATGGTAGGGTTAAAATTAAGAAATAGATTTTTTGACTCCCCAATTTCAGAGGGGAAAAATTTTATGATTTGAGTAAAAAGTTCCAGAGCATATTGGTCTTCAATTAAATAATTTATAAACATTTTGATTCATGACATTGATTCCTGTCCCCAAATCTTCATACATACTTCCCACTGCCCACAGTGCTAACCGTTTCCATTCTCTCTTCTTTCCCATCCCTTCCTGCCTCTAGAGGTTTATCCCTTGGGAAATCCTGCCCTTCTGATACCATTCAGTTGATTGATCTAAGGAGTAACTCCCCCCTAGAGAAGGTGTTTACTCCACAGGCACCGGTCTGTTGTTTGACTGTACGTTGGGTCAGGGAGTGACTTCAGTTCCGAGTTTGAAGGGAGTCTTAGGGCCACAGTGTTAGGGTCCTGCCAATCTCTATTTGGCCAGTAAGCCTGCTCTATTTTTTTGTTATCTTGAATTCTGTTCTACATTTTTTCTCCCACTGTATCCAGGACCTCCTATTATGATCCCTTTCAGACTGGGGAGCATGGCATCCTACAGTTCTTCTGGTCTCAAGGTCCTGGAGGCGGGCAACCGTGTGGCCCATTCATCAATCATTTGGATGAGTTCCATGTGTCTTTAATTTCATTCATCCCTTTTTGCTCCAGAGAGGGGGACACCAATAGTTGCACCTGCGATGGTTGTTCACATGATTCTAAGACTCCAGTTTCTACTCAACAAAGGTGGTTGTAGAACAATGTCATTGTGGATGATGTTATGCCAATTGACTTGATGTTCTTCAGTAATATGGTCCTGAGCTTCTAGGCCCAGTGACTTTGGCTCAAGGAGTTTGGTTATAGCTAAGATGTTTTCATAACTTTGCCCTCTGTGGTGAAGTGAATTACTTGGTATGGTGGTTCTACCCACAGTCTTTGTAATTCCCACCAAAGGACTGGCTGGGAGCATATAGGTAAGGTTTATGGAACTAAAATGATGGGATGGATCAGTTTTACAATATGCTCCAGATAAAGTCTTCTCAGAAGTATGAAGCAGACTCAGGAATGATGCGTGCGGAAGATGCTTGCATGGAGTGGTGGCGGAGAGGCAGTGCTGAGACCATGAGACAAGAGCTGTGGGCTTCCGGGCTGATGGAATGAATAGAGCTTAGGGGCAGGAGGCTGGTTTGCAGAGTGAAATGCCCTTTGGGCATTTATCAGCACTAAAGGAGTTTGTAACCCTTGTCTGGGTAGGGTAGAAGCCAAGGGCCCACATGGCTGAGACTGAGGACCAGAGAGAGATGTGCCTGCCGGCATGGCTGAGAAGCAGCACTGGAGACAAAAGAACTGAATCCTTAACATTTCTGATAATCATGAGTGTTGTCAATGAGTTCTATGTGGTGATTGCAATGAGTTATTGAACTTAGCAGAGAAGTGGAGAGATATGGAGAGACAATGGAAGTCAGAATAGGGTAAAGGAAGTTGAAGTCTGACTTCTGATTTGTGGGGATTGTCCCTGGGCTGCCGTGAAGTTGCATTCTCCTTCTCTCTCTGAAGCCCAGGGAGGTCAGACATGGCCTCTATGCCAACTTTGCAGCCCTGTGTGCTCCTCTGTCTTCAGATTTAAATTGGTAGCACAAATGAATACATCCATAGAAACAGCCTCTGTCACACCTGATGATCGTGTATTTCTAACAGCCAACCAGGCTGTCCATCCTGGTCCCTCCACAGATTGTGGGTTTTAAACCCATTGGCTTTCAATTGTGTCATACCTGTAACCAGAATAAACCTTTGAAATTGCTAATAAATAAATAAATAAATAGCCTTTCAAATTTGTATGTATTTGTGGGTTTAATCCAATTCATCTTCCCACACCTATTCAGCTTGCATGTCCAACTTTGTATCCACTTACACGTCTTATTATTATTGCAGGATACCTCTTGTGCTTTTCCCAGTGTCTTCCTTTGCCTTCATTGTTTTGTGATGAATCCTGCCTGCCTTCCCACCAGCACTCTGTATATCGCTGTATATCGCCTTCTTCTTTACCCAAGGAAATGTGTGTCTATCCTCTAGTTCCTGATTCACGCCCCCGTCCTCCTCCTGATCACATTCAGAGATTGTTTCTTTCTGTGTGTAAACCTTTTCTTGGACTTTAAATAGCAGTGGCCTCATACAGCATTTATCCTTTTGTGATTCACTCATTCACTCAGCATAATGCCTTCCCGGCTCTTGCACAGTATGAGGTGTTGATGGGCATTCAGGCTGTCTCCACATTTTTGCTGTTTGTACATCCATGCTGCGATGAACATGGGTGTGCATAGATCTGTTTGTGTTTTGGCTCTTATTTCTCTAGGCTATATACGTAGTAGTAAGAGTACTGGATCATATATTTGTTTCCACATTGGTTGTACCAGCAGTGTCTGAGAGGTCCCATTTCTCCACAACCTTGGTGTTTAAATTTAAACTTTGCTATTAATGATAAGGTGAAGATGACATCTCACTAATGGTTGGATTTGTATCTCTCTACTGGCTACTTGTCATGAGCATTTCTTCATGTGTTTGCTGGTCAGCGGAGTTTCTTCTTTGGTGAAGCAGATGGTCATCACCTCTGCCCTTTTACACTGAATGGTAAACCTCCTCCTCACCACCACCGTCACCACCACTCCGCAGTTCTCTTTTCATGCTTTTTGGCAGAGTTTCTGATGCACATAAATGCTGATTTTGAGGAGGTGCTCCATAGGGTTTTCAATCATTGGTTTTTCAAAAAAAGGCCCATAAGCCCTTAATCTAAGGTCCCTCTGGGCTGATTGAACCTCCAATTTTGTGGTTAGCAGTGAAGTGCATTAACTGTTCACGCTGCCAAAGGAGTCCAGACAAGTCCTCAGGTGACTCCAGTATGCAGCTGGCATTACCTAATCAGCACCTACCCAATCTTCAGATTCAATTGTCTCAGACTTGCCCTGCCCACCCCCAATTCCTTGGTCTCCATATACCTGCATCGCAGCATTTATTACAATAAGCTCCATGTACAAAGTGGATTCTGACTTATTATCAGTACCTGGCATGTGGTGAATGCAAAAATATGTATTACAAAGGAAAAAATAGCTCCCTAGCCTCTATACCTCTTGGTTCCTAAAGGTATAGCCTATGAGTCTCAACCTCAGCTTCCCTTTGGGGCTCCCAACATAAAGTCCCCCAGAAGCAGGGTCAACCTGCTTCATTTTTCCAGTAGACAATCTTTGCTGTTTGATTTCGCAGTAACCAAAGCAGCTAAGAATACACTCTCTGCAGACCCGTCCAAGCATTCATTTTAACAGTGGAGCAGGGAAGGCTTTGGACTTGTTGTTGAGAGACTCCTCATATCAGAGGAAGTAGGGTTGGCCCCAGGCCTCCAAGAAAGAACAGAGTCCTCCCCTTCCTTCCCCCCAGCTCCTTGAGGACATCATTCCTGGGAACCTACGCTTGGTAGCTGAGTGCTAAGAGTTTGTGAAGTCGGAATGGGATGTATTAGAAGTTGGTGTCCCTTGTCTGGTTTGGAGAGAGCAAGAAAGGCATCACGGGAGGTGTGGAGGGAGGAGTTTTTGGAGGCCAGTCTTCTCTGTTTGGCCAGGTTTTCTTAGCTCCTCCCACTCCTTTCCTCCTTTGAAAATAAGGAATGAACCAGCGGGGGTTGTCATTCTCCAGGTGCAGACCCTTTCTCAATTCCCATGTTCCGATGCTGGAATCATAAAGCCCGAGCTGTAAAGACCTAGAATTGGGTTGTCAGTTGAGA